ACTCAGTATTCTCAAAACCAGATACAGTATTGTGATCCATTATTTTCTGCTTCGCATGAATGTTCTCTGTATATCCACTAAGGTCATACAAATTGGTGAGAGATAAATGACAACTTCTAGCGTTACCAAGGTTAGCACAAAACTGGCATCATTTTGAAGATCTTAACCTATTTGGACCTGAAAATCTGAGATTTCATTTTCGTCTGAAGTGCTTTTGCTACAGGCATATTTTCTTCTTGAGTGAAATTGCAGGATTTACCAAATAAAAGAGTTTCTGATGCAATATTAAAAACGGACACTGGTTGCTAGCAGACAAATTTGAGGTGACTGAATGAATCTTTCTCTTACAGAGCAGTCTCCTTTGACTTGTTATTTTGATAAATGAAGCACCTTAAGGCTAAAGTTTCCTACGTAATCTCAAAAACGAAGACAAATTTCTGGATAAAACTCAACATACTATTAAAAAAGCACGTCTGTCTGCCTCCGACTCAAAGTTTCTAATAATTTTCCAGGTATTCTTTTGTAACTAGTCACGTACAATATACATATATGTTCTGCTTATTTGCTTTATTTGATTTTGCACACTAGAATGTCCGCCATGTTGGGCTGTCAAGCTATTCTAATGCGGTTCAAACTTGCATACAAAAACCAAACAAGAAACAAAAATTAGGCAGTTTGGAAATCCACTCCGGTCAGCAAATGCGTCTGTGCGCTTTACAATTGCCTGCTGAATTAAACTGACCTTTGATAATCAAACAACTGTAAAAATCTTTTTTTCGTGTGCAATGCAGCAGTGTACAGACTCCCAAATCTCACAAAATCTGGCAGTTGGTAAGTTGAAAAAAGGCAAGAAATTGTAATACATGAAGCAAGCAAAAATTAAACAGATCGCTTTGGCTAAAACATTGCTTGAGTGGTTTCACCATTAATTTAACATCGACGGTACATCAGTCTATCTTAACTCACAAGCTAATCAATAAGGCCAAATTTGGGTTCAGTGAATCACAGCAGTCAAAGTATTTGGCTGTAACTTATGGATTCGCCCGCCTGATAATTTAACTTCCTGCCCTCGTACGTGAATTTGCCACAAGCGTTGCATAAACAATCATCTGATACCTCTTATCAGTAAAAGATACTTATGCTAGATGTGGTAAACCAATATCCTACTCATCCTTTTTCTGAACGTATCTCTGAATGAAACTTCACACAACTCTGAGAAACCATGTTGATTCCAGGGTTGAAGTATACAAGTGGTATTCCTGTCGAGCTACAACAAAGACATTTTTTATGGAGACTTTTCCAAATTTGTGGCTTTTTGTTGCCGAAAACCAACCAGAAACGAGTTGAACTCCTCGACCATCTGTGAAATTAGAACTGCTTTACCTAGAGATACAGTAGAGCCATTATTCATAGGTGTACTGATTCTTCAACGAGAAACCTCATCTTAGATAAACAACTACAATTGATCCTATTAACTCAGGAAAATTACCGTATAACTAATACTGTCAAGACCGCCATGGTTCAAGATTGTAGGATTTTCCGACATTAGACGGCGATAATCTTTTGCCCAAACTGATTGACCCAGAAGCTGAGGGTCAAGTGAAGCAACCATCCATAGTGTTTACAAAATGCGGTTTTTAAAAGGAGAGGCTTTTGTGTGAGTAGATTCAGCTGATGCAGAGATTGGTGAAATACTCGCCACACGGGAACATCATTAAAATTCATGCGTTAACAGAAAAGTGAGGTCTAATTTTTCCGGCCCATTTTTTTCACTGTCTAAAACAAGAGTGATTACGATGGGACTTAAAGTGTAACAGGTTCTGACATAACCATCAACTGAGTCACAAAAAGCTCTTTTCTAAGATTCTTTTGAGATTACTCTTGAACTTTGGTTAAACCGGTGGGCCGAACTAGATAGCTTATTTAGGGCTGAAACCTTCTCATCAAAAAGTCATTCTGGGTAAACTTTTTCTCTGATCGTGTTTCAGGGCAATTCTGTCTTCATAGCAGATTGGTTTGGGTCACTCAGTCAGACCAAATCCGACTTAACTTCAGTGGATGGGAGTTGGAGAGCCGCGCGCTTGGACAGTTCACATGGATCATCGGTACATCTTAGGTGGCAGACGGCCTTCTGTTGTTCAAATTATCCGCATAGCCAGGATTGGAAACGTGCGCGCTTTTCTTAACTCATATATAAATAAGCCTGATAAAATATCCACAATTTAATTATGAGACAGCATGGTCATTCGTAGTACAGGCACATTGGCCACATTTTTGCTACCAAAGTTTAAATGTTCGTTAACTGATCATTTGGAGTTACGCAGACCAAACTGGAGTTGGGAAGAAACAGAAGCCTTTTTACGTTTTTGTGCGTAATAAGACCAGTTACAAAAGGGTGCATGAACGAAGTTCTTTTGGTTTCTGAAGAGAAAAACTGGTGTTTATCTCTAGAATACCCATTAACGTTGAACAAACAGGTGATGATTTTGTTCAAAGCACGCAACCGCTTGAGTTTTTCATTAGCTTGGGGGTACGAATTCCGGGCTTGACGAACAAGACTGGAAAGAAATTAATTAATATACGTGTCCAGATGTAAATGTTACGCATTTACACTGACTCCGCTAGACTCGCAACACAATGGTGTTTTGAGAACGAAGGAGGTGGCGAACAAAGCTTGTTTTCTGTGATTGTTCCTCTCTGCTAATATATCACAAATTTATATGGTACCAGATATCACGTGGAAAAGTTTAAGATTGGGGGTACATATACTTTAGGGAAATAGAAATCAAAGGAAGGGGGTTGAATAAGAGATAGGTCAATAAGTCACGGAATCGGGTAAGTGAAGTCAAATTTTTTCGTAGGCCAGTTCAGTTCTAGAGTTCTCACAAGTTTCTTTTGGATGCAAGTCCAGCAGTCGAATTCCAACTGCCTCTGCGATCGATAGTAGTCTGGATCGTACCAGTCGTGATTGGTGTTAAAGCTTGCTCCTTGTCTTACTGCTTGTTTCTTACATGTAATTCAGCAATCCATATCTGGTTCGGATTTTCTGCGTGCATAAATAAGAAAATATCATTTGCCGAGAACGGAGAACATTGAAAGAGCCAGCTTAATGACAGCTTAAAAATAAGCCGACCTCGTCCACCACTGATCATTGAAACTTAAATTAACATGCACTCAATACATCGATGACGGATTATTGTCTTAGAATTCCCAAGAGGGCTGACCTTTATATATTTATAGAGTTCAAATTCTTATTTCTGCTACGTATTTAACTTATTAATGGATTACATTTTTTCTTCCGCGTTCCTAGTCGAATCATGTGTGAACCAGCCTAGTAAGCGAATATTTGGGTAGACACACCACTGCTTTCGCAAAATTGAAGTACTGTATTCTGACGCTATTATTTTCGACTTGTTTTTAAGCACATGGGAGATATTCGACAAAGTTCCTTAAATATACTTTGATAAGGTTTGTATGCCATTTTGATATCCCATTAGTAGTACCTTCCTAAGACGTCAGTTCCTGTTTAAACAAGAAAACTATCACGCTACTTAAGGATCCATAGGGACAACAGCTAAGAAAGTGGCACAGATATCAATAGGAGAAATCGAACAACCAGATGGTGGAATACCATTTTCGTTGCATTTCTCAAAGTTTACACCTCTTTACTGGTTTATCGCATCAAGCCAAGGTCACTTTAATTAAGCTGAAAGCTCCATGATTTCGGAGTTTGAATCAACAAATCACTTTGAATCCCGTTTTACATCTTGATAAAAATTTACTCCGACATTTCATAGTAATCAAATAATCCAAAAATAAATTTTTTTTCATTTTTCCTCAGTGAGTGACTGAAAATATCCAGGTCTTATAGGATCGGGGATGCACGTAGACATACTTTGCGTACATACATATACTGTCCGTAATTAGCAATCGACCCATTAAAGTTAGACTATTGATTGAAATTCTCAAGTTCGGTTCTATCCGGTCAGCAAACTGTAAATCCATAATAAGGCCGATCATAACTTGTGCTTTCTTATCTTCAGCTCCACTGTCCGAACACAAATATTTTATAGTGAAAGAACGACAAAAATAACCCGGTTACCGCAAATGCCTCAGGCCATCTATCTCGCTCACACACACGGTACATCCGAGTTTTCTACCCAACAGTCTTGTCTCTTCATTTGATTATTGAATTAGTCTCCGTGCAGCTATTCCTTTAAAACACATCAGCTTGTCTCAGTTGTTCGGTGAATCTGATTAATTGTAAATGGCACTTGGATTGGCACAGCATTTTTGTTTATTGGCTTCCCCATCTCACTCTGGTCTGAGAAAAATTTGGGTGGCCGAATTGGCGGTTTCATAAATCAGGTGCAGCCGACCAAGTTCAAACTTGTTTCGTCAGACATCGCACTGGTTGCAAGTTTTGGAATTCAATCAACATAGCATCTTTTCTATGTCAGAAGATCCTATGAGTGTATCATGATGAAAATATCGTACTCAGGAGTCAACAGTAAGGTCGAATTGTGTCATTAGGATGTTCCCTGGATTACTACATACGGAGGAGCCTGATCGCAGCGATAGTGACTGTAAGCACTTCAGGCTACAGGTGACCGACATATTCATTCTGCACTAGATTTAACAGCTTCGCCAGTAAGATTATCCATGGCTTTGATTGAGTAGTCTCATGTAACCGGATAGCTTTTGAAATACTCCTTTATTTCTATAGGGATTCTTTGGAAAATGAGAACACTATAGATGTTCGTTCCTAAAAATTTGGTTAAGGAGCTATCGGAATCAAGCGGCTAATCGTAGTGAAAGTAATTTTCCCATCATTGTCAGCGAAAAACTTTCCTCCGAATTTCAGGCTCAGTTATGCTAGATTTATGACATTTTACACAAATCTGGACGAATTTGCACAAATAAATACGCCAAGGTACATATAATCAAAATGGAGAACTGGTGAACCATCACCGAACATACTGAGAAAATTTGTTTCATTCCTAGAACGTACCGGTGGGTTTCGAGTAATCGGTTCGTATTCCAGACCGAAACAGATCACCGAGTGCCTGACTGATATCCTTTTGTAACAGTTTCAGTGCATCGTTTTCGCTGCTCAGACTGCTCGAAAAGATATAATGTCGGTGTTGTCGCAGTCCAATTTGTGCACGAATTCCTGATAACTTCGTTGGGCCCAAAGAAGGACTAATTCTGGAAAAATCCTGCGCGTTAATGCTGAATGGAGCTTGAGTTTTGGAACAAACATGCATTTAGGATGCCAAATCAAATACATTTGAATTGAGTGTCTTGTTTTCTAGCTGGAATCAATAACACCTAACCCCCGGGAAAGCAGATAGGTACGCCTTCTGTATTGACAGCTCCTGCTGCACGGAACCCAACGGCAACCAGTTGGAACTGAGTGATTCCTAGTGGGAAATATGAATATGGTAAATAAACGTGCACAAGCCCTTTCTGAGAACGATGGCTACAGAAAACTAGATCCTCGTAGTTCAAGGAGGACGGTGATATGACAGAAGGACATCCGTTCAAAACAACAAACGTTTATTGGTCGGACTGAAATCCTGACAAACTGATAACCACCTGTGAATTACTTTGATTTCTGTTATCATTTTTCAGGTGCCACTTCCATTCTAGTTCTGTCTGATGGTCGGATCAGTGCTACGGGATCTGGTCACTCCTCGCCTATACCTCCCAACTTTCGTCTCTTGAGTGCACTGTAGCCGGTGATTATCCTGGCTCAAAACAAAGCAGCAAATAATATTCAACGGTGGTTAGAGCACGGCATGAGGTTATAGGCTGGTGGTCTCATGGTACTCTCCTTGGGGCAGTAGGTAAGAATGAAATTAGCTTTCTTACAAAGGATTGCTACGCGCTGGGTTACGTATCACTGACTCATCAGCGTGCAGGTAGTGGTGTTCCACCGTGCGCGAACAAAATGTGGTGCGTAAACATTTTTACTTTAGCAAGATCATCACATCTAAACCGAACTGCACAATCTGGTGAATTGAAGGACGAAGGTAAGGTTGTGCCCCTTCTACATCCAAATTCTGGATCAGATTTCTATTCTGAGACGGTGAGTGCGTCGTAAGCCTAAAGTGATTCCGATGATAGCACTAACTGCTCTAGACAAAGCTCTACTCATATTTCTCTAGAACAACGTTAACTCTATTTCGACAAATGCACTCATTTTTAAATCAGTTTGGTTTTGAAGTAAATTTCCCGTTTAGCATGTTCTTCAAATAAACGTGCTGCACACAGGTCACCTCATGTTTAAGTTGGTTCACTGCTCGTTATCGCAGTGTATTTTCATAAGGGAAACTATTCACAAGGTTGCTGAGAACTCTTCTACGACCGGTTTCGCCCTTCTTGGTGCTCATCAGATAGGAGCAGTCCCCGAGATTCCATCAGGCTTATGTTCTACCTGAACACAAATTCTATCTGATAAACTAATATTACTTGACAAATTTGAACGTAAATTTCTGTTGTCTGCTTTTATAATGTTTCATCGTATAATCAGATCAAACCATTTGACTTTCTAAATAACATGTTCATTTTTATCCCATCCACAGCAAACAAAATTTTTTGCACAGTCATCAGACACTCCTTGCACACAGTTCTATTTACTGGAGCTAACATTACTGTTAAACTTTTGAACAATACTTTCCACTGGTGTACATCATATCAAAATACCATCAGAAGTTGCGAAATTTGTAGGGACCTGATTCCATCATACTCCCAATAAAGCAGGGTCTGTAGCAAACAGACCCAACCCATCTCAGGCATCTTCCTGATGTAGCTGATGTCTTCTTCATTTCCATTTCTCATTTTCCAGCACAGCGAGTTTATTTTAGTTGATTAGATGTGAGTCAGAATGGGTGGGCATGAGGAGGTTGAAGCGCGAATTCCTGTTTGTGGTCCGTTTGAAATCACATCGGTTTTGCCCACCTAGGGAATGCATAAGTTTCTCTATATGATTATCGATTAACTGAACTAAGAGAAACCGAAAAATTAGAAAAACAAGAAAATAGCTCACCAGACTCGTCATCTACTACTGCCTAACTAAAGCACACCTAAAACACTCTTTGCTCAAAAAAGACCAGTACGTTTGTCTGTGTGTGTGGAGGGGCTATCTTGATTTATACGGCAATGCAGTTGTTTCACCGAACGCTTGAATGCAGTTAAGGAAGATTTATGCATCATTTGTCACATTTTTAGCTCACTGATCTCTGTTGGATTTTCAGTGTGTGTGTTTAATATTTGTATTCTTCTTTTTTGTCTTTAATAAATGTGAATTACCGATTGAAAAGCTATTAAGGCAAATAATGCAAATTAACAACTCGTGACAAATAATGAAAACAGTCCGTCAAAGTAGTGTGTTATGTTCAGTCTGTCATATTTAAGAGTTTGAACTGACATCAGAAGTGTTTTACAGAAACGTGCTTGTTATCATTATTAGTTCTATGAAAGTTGGCATACGTGATGCTTCTCAAATATCGATCAGATTAACTTCTTCGAGAGAAAGCACTCTTGACGGATGTTGGGACGTCCACTCAATATCAAGCGAAACTTATATCGCTGGCATTTTACACTGTGAGAATAAAACTTTGATTCGTTTCTACATGTTTTGGGCGGTTTGTTGCTTTGCACCTCTTACAGACTAGCTGCTTTGGGCATTTGAAGATTTGGGGCATGAGTGAATGATAAGCTGGCTCCACATGGTTAACTTCTATCGTGATCCTGGGCCGCATGCCTCCACACGTTTTGATAAAGAACCTGTCTGAAATTGAGGCGCATTTCAGCATTTCAGGTGCAAAGTAGAGACCTCTACACCAAAGTTTCCTCCAGAGGAACTTCGCTTACATGCCTTGTCTAATTCCAGTGATGAAATTTACAGCAGGAACTTCATTCCGTCGGCAAGAGCTAGGCTCAGAGAGTCCCAGCAGAAGTGATCACATGACTTCACGGAAATGCCACCCAAACGACTTCACTTTCTTTCTTTACTTCCATAACGTATAGGCCTGTCTAGGTTTGCGGTACCAGTCGGTTCTTTTGATGGTCATTTACGGGAGAGTGCCGGTCTAAAAAGTTAACTTGCATCAAGTAGCAACGAAAAAAGTGGTAGTTCGATAGTTTGTCCAAAAACATAGTTTTAGATCAGTTTTGGTTCTGACTTTATAAAATCGCGATATAATCACACTGAAATCGAGCTGTGAACTGAAATTGGAATTGGAAAATCAGGGAATTTCGATTCCATCTGTTGAAAAATTTAAGTTTGGATTTCTTTAAGAAAGAACCTGCGCTCAAGACACAAAACTATTTTTTGCGTACTACTTTCTTACATTTAGAGAGTCGATTTCAGTTAAGCATGTGGTCAGAAAAGTGTTTTGCAGACATCGCAAGAAGTATTTTCTAGCTGCTTTTCTGTGCATTTTTTAAACAGTTGTCACACATCCGTACCCGGAGCTAAAATTCCGTACATTTACACGTATTATTACGCCGGCTTGTGGTAATTATTTAATGATATGTCACTCTATACTGAAACTGGTTAGCCCAAACACTTGAATACTGCAATTGCTTCCCAGCAATTTGGCCCGAGCTACGCTATTCAAGGCACAATCTCCGACCTATCGCTTCGCCCCACCTCGTTCGCTAACAATCTACTGATGATATCACCTCGATTAGTAATGAAATGTTTGCAATCCAATCGCCCAGCTCAGTGAACAAACAAACGATCACGATATAAATCACTTTAGTTGAGTCACTAGTATTGCTGTCTCAAGTACACAATTACGTATGGTCACAGCGAAGTTTTTCCCTCCGAATTCTACATATCTGCTTGGGAGCTGACAGTGATGCAGAGCGCAGATAGCCTTACTGGATGAGATAGACAAATGTAGTAAAATGGTCGTAAGTGTGTAAAATAATTTTCATTCCAAGGAACTTGGTCCCGTACCATAAATTAAATCAATCTGACTCCTTCCTACCCTAGCTAATAAATAATACGAATGGCCCATCGTCAGCCCATTCTTTAGCTGACACTTCACTCAAAGAGTCAACTGTAACTAAGAGGAAATTGTTCTCCCTTGCAAAATCATCTTTTTTTACCAATCCCCTGAATATACCTCCACGTCTCTCCGCGTATGTGCCCAAGCCTGGTTCCACGTTTAAATTAACTATTGTATTGTCCACCGTGTCTAGCGGAAGTGGCAAGTAAGGATTCTTGACCTAGATGAAAAATGCTCTGGGGTCAGTTAAATCAATCTCAAGGTCTAGATAAAGCCCATTAGATTGCTTGGTTTTCCCTCCTTCTTGTGTAAGCTATCTTGTTCCACAACAAGCCAGTCACGATTAATGCACACTGGTATTTTTCCACGACCTTTTTTTAAAAGATCCTGAATAATTAGTCTTACTGGTTACACCGAGTTAAATAAAAGGACAATCTATATCTCAGCACTTGCCTAGTATCGAGATTTCAGCTCGTACGACAACAAAATGAAGTAAAATCTGCCGAACGGCTGACTTTTGGGAAAGATTATTTTTAACTGCAACCGCTACGGTTTCGACGTGACAACAGCTAAGCGGATAGTTGAGTCTACAACTTCCTACTCATTATAGTTTCAGAGAGTTGGCGCATTTTTTAGTTTGAGCTACAAGAGTAGCTACTTGTTCTTTCTGGAATCGCCTAAACCGTTCCGGGAGGTTGTTATTAGGCTGATCTTGTGAAGTGTTTCCGCTACTCTGTTCTTACAGCGATTGGCGCCGACAGATTTTCATCAGGCACACTGAAACACGGGTATATAACCATTGCTGAAAATCCGCCGAGTTTGTCTGCATGACATTTGCAGGAAAAAAAACTGGGACCCACAGGACCAGTGCTGTAGTTGGTGATTTTTCTTAAGTTTGTGAAAAAAGCGCTGCTGGCAAGTTCCAGATGGTGATGACAAACATATTGACCGTAAACGGCAGGCCAGGTGAAACAGAGCCAGCCATACTGATACTTTCATCGACCTATGCAAAAGCAGACACCTATTTATTTAGTTACGGAAACCACTTATTTTCTTTTGGACTTTGTGTTTTGTGAATAACGTAAACTGCGTTAAATCTAGTGAAACCCATGGTTTTTAGCAAGCCCCCGACTTTGAAAAGTTACCGATCCTTTTTTCTGCAGTCGCTTTCTTGTGCCGTTTAACGGGTAGTCAGCGAAATAATAGTTCACAGAGCTAATTAATAACCCAAAGCCTTTGGGTATTAATCACGTTGGGGGGAATAAATCGAGTACCCAATATCGAGTGCGTAATCCGCTGTACGCGTTGGGGTTTGGTATATCGAACGCAAGCCGTCTGATCACAGGTGTTTGCAAACGTCCGGCTGTACAGCCTTGGAGCTAGAACCAGCGCCTCCAGATAGATTCAGAAAAAAACAATTTACGGTTAAAAAGCTTGTCAGCGCATAGCTTGGAAAGTAGCTGTCCGGATAAAAGCTGGTTTTAGTAATTCGAAGCTCCCTTCAGAAACTAGACCCCCTGGGGTTCTATAGGGACCGAAATTGTCCAGTTTCCCATCCCTGATGATTTTCGGTCCTCTCATTTGTGAAGCTCATTAAACTGCACCAAATCTACTCTTAAGTAATTCTTTAGGTTGTCCACTGGGTTCAATTGTTGCAATCTCCACAATGGTTCTGACAACCATGGCGTATAATTACGGACTCAGATCCCTGCAAAAGATAGTCGTTGAGGTCTTCATTTGGTGACGGTGTTTAGAATGCTTCTTGGATATATATTATATATGTCACTGTAGAAGTAAACTAGCATCATTCTTTTCAGTAGTCGTGTGAATTTTCTCTCATTTTAGGCTTGCGGATTGAGTCATTCCAGGCGTTGACCCACGCTGGCTTCAGTTCTGACAGTGCTACATTATGCTGAAAAAGTGGGCTGCTGACTTCTGGAAACAACACCAGGACCTGCATGGTGGATTCGATCTTTTGTTTCTCATGTCAGTGTGGTGGGTTGTCGTCAGTGGAGTGGCTATCCCATCGTCCCATTTAATACGACTGCGTGAGGGTATTCCAACAGGAACCATAATTATACCAGATTTGCTCAGTTTCCTCAAAGGTGGATCCCATTCGCCTACTACAGGTAACCACGCTCGTGCAGAAGAATCAGAATCCGGTGTCCTGGCAATAGGAAACTCCGCCATGCCTGGAGTCAGTTGGTTTGCCATCGACTCATCGCGGAAAAGTTTGGTTGTGAAAGCACCTCCAGATAGAGATCTTATATGCCCAACAGAGTTTAGACTTCCTGAAACCGCCGTTCCAACACAAAACGGTGTAGAATTTCCCGAGTATCTACTACATTCCAACATTAATTCAAATGACCTTGGGAGCCCAGAGGAGTGTACAGTAAAGATATCGATTGTGCATGGGCCTGCTTCTAACCCATCGTTTGAGATTTTAACGATTATTTTGGAGGATGTCAATGACCATGCGCCCAAATTCTCAGTTGGGCATCCGGTTAATGCAGAAACCATCCCACATGTTATCAGAGTACCTGAGACTCCTGGACATGCAGGAACGAAAAGTAACGCACCCAGTATAAACCATCCGACACGAAATTTTGTACGTATACCGCTACCCCTGGCAAATGATTTGGATTATGGTGTTAACAGCATACGAGGCTACCGTCTAGAGGGTCAAGATGCCTATCTGTTTGCTTTGGAAGTAGGCGTGCAGACGGAAGACCATACAGGCATCAACTCGGACATCAGCCTGATGCAGTATCGAAGGCCAAAAGCAAACCAACTGTGGTTGGTCCCAGCCAATGCAAAGGGTCAGAATATGGATATCGTTCCTACTGGTGGATTAGATCGTGAATTGCGTGAAAGTTATCATCTTGTCCTTGTGGCATTTGATGGCGGATCGCCACAGCGCAGTGCCAGACTACCGATTAGTTTGGTTGTGGAGGATCTCAATGACAACCCACCCATTTTCAATCAGCCTTGGTATTCTTGCCAGATCTCCGAAAACGACCCACCTGGAAAAGTCGTCCTTGAATTTTCTGCGTACGACGCGGATGGTGATGGGAGCAACAACAAGATTAGTTTCCACATACCGGGTTCCTCTCCTGATCACATAAGACCGAACAGCATGGTGACGGATAAGGGCCAGATGGTGCATGAGCAGCGAGCGACAGGACTATCTGAATCACAGCTTGCAGCAGCGCAACTTTTTTCCATTGAACAGCGTAATGATGGCCAGACAGACGGTGGACAATTTCATGAGCCATTGAAATCAAACATCACACATGGAAGGTTGATAATAAGACGGCAGCCAAAAGAGCAACTACAAAATGCAGCTTCAAGAGCCATTGCAGCCGCCAAAACAACAGCAACTCAACCAGCAAATAACGGATTTCAAAGGGGGAATCTTCCATTCCCTGGTTCGAAAGGTGACTCGAAACAGGAATCAGGCGTCCGTCTGGAGTTTGTGATTGAAGCATTCGATCACGGTCGACCAAATCCTCTTTACACCCGCGTCCCGGTATACGTCACCATAGTCGACGTCAATGATCATCCCCCAAAGGTCTTTGTTTCATACTTACGGCACTCTAGTTCACCTGTCATTCTGCAACGGGAAAATCCCGGAAGTCCAACAGTTTGGGGCTTGGCGCGGGAAAATTTAGCCAGGACTATGATTGCCCAAGTCACGGTTACTGACGAAGATGGAGCTGAGGGCGATCTAGTTTGCAGCACCAATGACAATCGGTTTGTCTTAGAAGAGATTGCGACAACCGGAGGCTTTCTAGGTGAGTCTCGTAATCTATGGATTCCGCCCAGTGTGACATCTGTGATCAAGAAGGACGATCGCTCCAAACGCACTCGTCGACGTGCCTTGTCTGCGCGAATGTTCAAACTTATGTTGATCAGTCCACTGGATCGAGAAGTGGGTGGTGGACAGCCCAATCGTATTGAATTTATTTTGACATGCAGAGATAACACCCAGAACCAGCTTCCAGGAGAACAGCTTACCTCACGCGTTCCAGTTCGCATTCTTATAGAAGATGCCAATGACAACGCACCTATCTTCGAACATCCTGAATACACATTTCACATTCCAGAAAACCACCCCCAACTATCAACCGAGCCTGACGGAATCACAAAAATAACTTCCAGGTATTTTGTCGGGCAGATTCGTGCAAATGACGCGGATGAAAACCTTCATGCCTTGGTGGAATACCAGCTTGTAACAAATCCTGGAGCAGCAGTTGAGCTCAATCCAATAACGGGACAACTCTATGTGATTCGCCCCCTTGACCGTGAAACAACAAGTGAGGTCGTCTTCCAAGTGCTTGCTATTGATTGCCGGCATACAAATGAAACAGAGCTAACACAAACAGAAAAGCGACTGACTGGCACTACACAGGTTCGTATAATCGTTGACGATCTGAATGATTCACCGCCTGTTTTCGACGAACTTAACTATCATTTTGAAGTAGAAGAGGGAACGGATCTGGCGAAAGTAGGTCAAGTATGGGCTACAGACGCCGATCAAGGAGAAGCTTCGAGAATCTCATATAGGTTAGCTATTGGCACACTGAATCGTTTTAGAGGTTACCCATCGGGAACCCACAATGCAGATACCCAGTCAGTGAATACACCAGTACAACTTTACGACGAAGCATTGGAAATTACAACTCACTTCCAGATTGACCCGGTCAATGGTTTAATTCGAGTCAAGGGACGGTTAGATCGAGAGCGGAGATCTCATTATGAATTTATTGTACTTGCTGTTGATAATCCACGAGCTGGGCAAACAAAGTCCGAAGGTCACCTTATGAGTAAACCGACAGACCTGATGCAACACACAGCTACGACAACAGTGCTCGTCACGGTTCTCGATCAAAATGATAACCCACCCCAAATCCACAGTCCCAAAAATCATGCGGAATTTCCGTTGAGTTCGGATCAACTGATTGCAGGCAGCACCATCTTCACTATCAAGGCATCCGATCCAGATCTTGGGGAGAATGGAACAATTGAATTTGAACTGGCTAAAGTGGAAAACGATTTGGGAACATTGCATGAGTTTGGTGAACAGGACAAAGACGGAATTCATAGTTTGGAAAACAGATCTACAGATAAACAGATGGACAATTCACGGATCAGCGAAAATCCATTCGCTCTTGACCGTACCTCAGGCATGTGCTATCTGCGAGAGAATCTTCCACCTGCGAATTCAGACGGTCCAAGAGCATATCTTCTGCGCATTCGTGCTTACGACCTTGGTAGACCACGTAGCTTGAACACCTCCCTAGTAGTTCGGGTAGTGAGACAATCCGTCGGCTCATTTTCACAAGGAATTCTAACTACTTTGTACGGAGATCATCCAGAATCCCTGTACGGTGGAAAACACGAGCGCGGTTACAGTGATTCATCAGCAGGAGTAGATTCCAAATCCGGGTCCTGGGCAGCAGTTGGACAAGCGCGAATATCCGACAGGACAATGGTTGTTATTCTAACCACAGTGTTTATTCTACTTCTACTGACCACAATTGTACTACTGCTCCTGGTCAGATACCGACGAATATTCCTCAGGAACGTATCTTTCAATGATGAACAACCAAATGACAGCCTGCTGAGCAAAGCAAATGTGGGCTATACTGCAGGTATGCTGTTCAGATTGTTATTTACTCTCCTGTTTATTTTATTTGTTTATAAATTAAGCAAACGGATTTCTGAGAATGCTTAAATGTTCTGTGAACAGCAGGTGATGTTTAAATTGACGCAAAGGTGGACCAGTGGTGTTCAAGTCATGGATCAGCCTCTTCATCCCTACTTCTACAATGTTGTGCTAATGTATCAAGTCTAGCAGGTAGAGCAAATGGGTGAAAATGGCTGTCCACTCAGTTTAATTACTTTTGCAGCCAGCTGATTTAAAAATCTAGATAAAGGCTCGGGTCCCAAAAACCGAGACCCAAAAATGACGTAAAGTGAAGAAGTAGCGCATTCCGGAGCTGCGTAACAATACCAACGGGTCTGCATCACTTTACCTTTCTATCACTGCTTGGAGCAAATAAACAGGCTTTGATTATTAAGGCCTCCTTATCATCCACGCATCTCTAACAGACATTGACTGAAACAAGGAAGCTTCTCACAACGCTCTATTCTACATTCTGATCTTCGGTAATGTTTTGTTACCATATTTGAACTATATGGAGCTAGTTTAAGAGAGTTATGCCTCGAGAGAACGAACAGTCAAATTGCATTTGCTTATTGTAATCTGGAAACGAAATTCTTGGTTACCACGAGCATATCAAGTACGAGCGTTCCTAAATGACTATGATTTCCGCACTTATCTTACTTTCCAGAATCACATCCAAACTTCGATTCTTGTGAGAAGTACTGACAGATTGTGGAGTGAGCTAATACGAAATTTCAGCTGATAACAGAAGCGCGTTTTAGTTACGTGTTTTATTTTAGTTGTTATTTTTGCTTCAGTATTTCTGGGGGCCTGAACTCAGGCGACCGTAAATCAGCTTCCATAGTAGCAGTTTTATTACCCCAGTTTATTCGGACGACAGGAATATTAACTTGTTTCCGACAGTCTCAGAATAGCAGTAACGTGAAACAGTTCCAGTTTCAAATAGTGACCGGGTGAAATGTAAACTCTCTTGTGCGTAAAAGTACTCAGAGAATGAACAAAAGGAAGAAATAAAAAGGTTTACAAATATAGGCGGGACCTGTCAAATTATCGAGAGGAGGGAATGCTTGTCGGACCTACGAAATTTCCAGCACATGAGACGCTTCGCTCTAAATTAACTTTAGCAGGAACAAGACAGCTAACAGTCCAGGCCGTTTCCCGCGTCACCTTGTTTGGTTCACTCCGTTTGCTCAGTTGTGCAAAACGAGTTGACTGATCAACTGTTAACGTCTTGAGGTAACCCGAAGAACAGTGAATATTTAGATGGCTTTGTTCGAATGGTCATCAGGAACTTGATGATTACCTGACCACAGTCTTGTAGTTTGAGCAGATATTGAATAGTAGACATCATACTGAAGAGTGTAGTCTTGCAGCGCCCGTCGTTCCAAATGAAATCTATCAAAAAAAGGATGATGGATTGATGAGGCACTCTACCGCCCAAGCACTTTCATGCAGAGCAAATACGATTATTTTTAATTCAGCTAGGAAGTTGCTTTATAAGTTATACAGATTTGGTTGTTTTTAATTGTTCAAACTCAACAGTTCCAACAAACTCCTGCACTGCTTGAGCCAATAAAATACAGATCAGTGGGTAGCCTAAATTCTTAACAAAATACACTCGTTCTCAAAACAATTTGGCTTTGACGAGAGACTCATCTGCAGCCAAACTTGAGAACATCATAACCGAGCGATTCAGCTGGGTTCGGGGTGTCCCGTTCCCAAACCAGATTGGTATGCTATTAAGTGTATTTCACTAACCTCGTGCAATTTGAATTCAAGTAGAACCTAAGGTTGCCGGAAATTCTTAGAATGCATTTGCTTGATTAACCCCGAGAAGAGTGAAGCCGGTTTGTGGTGTGTCAAAGCGGTTTTAGCCCATATTATTCTGGTATGCCATTTTTGGGTTATCCAAAGTGCCCCTGGAAAAGCACACCAGCGATTAACCTTAACCGCCTTTACTTTTCGTCAAACTTCTAGGTAAACCATTCAGTTCAACTCTGGAACCAAGTGGATCAAACGGGGTATGTGTAAAAATTAATGAACTAAATTGTGCAGCATGCATCACAGCGTATTTGTACAAAATCGGCTTTCAGGTTATATTTATCGTAATTTGCTGGGTTTTTTTTTAATAGCTACACATAGAAAGTGAATGAATTCTCCTTCTATTGGAGTTAGAACACTTTTTTTCCCATTTTACAAAATATATTTCTTTGTGCACATTTTTGCTGGCATTTTTGCCATAAACCCATCGATCTGTGGCAGCTTGGTAATGTTAGTGGGTAGAGACAAAGCTGAATTCTGCCGTAACGATGTGTTGTGCCTTCTGGTGCTCACCGGTCATTACCGGCCTCGACCGGAGTTTTGAAGTGTTGGCGCAAAATAATTGGTCCAATAGTACTTTGTAGCTGTTGTGAGAATCTTACATGAAACCGCTGTGAGAAAGGTAAATGCAGCATCTGCAATGAACGAAACTTCTGTGGCACGTGTTATCTTTGTGGCTGATCTGACAGAGAGACATTTCAGTCTGATAGAAAAGCGTTTTTCTTTGTATAATTTAGACTGCTTCCTCGTGAGGGCAGTGACATCGATATGACATCAGTGTTCAAAACTGATACCTCGCTGTAGTAGAAGAATGATTTATCTGAAAAGAAAGGGCTCAGTGCTTGATTACTGCAATCATTCCAAGACGCCTACTCCTCCTGATACTCAATCAAACAACCTGGTTAGAAACTGACAACAAGAGCTCCACTGATATAGGTTAGCAGCTTTATCTTGCATTGTGCATAATGGGGATCATGTGTTCCCGATCCTGAAGGAAGCATCGCCCCAAGAACACCCAGACCTTTCGATAAATCTCCCAAAAACCCCTACCACCTCTTTTCTTCCTGTTTTAGAAATTGGGTACGCAAAGGGTTTTATTGACCTTTTCTTAGGACCATGCATTAGGACCAACCAAAAAGCTTGACACACACAATAGGTATTTGTCTCATCTTAGGCATGGGCTGAGTTATCAAATTTGCTCAATTTATTTAAAAGGGGCTTTACTGACTTAGTTTTGTATATGTCAGCTACACTTCCCCTTCGCGGTGCTTTAATAACCAAGTTGGAGGGCCTAAAAGCCAAGGTTACAATTTACAAATATTCCTCAATCCAGAGCACTGACGCAGTGGATCATCGTGGGTTTATCGTTACAAAGGTAGAATGAAGTTCAACCGTCAATTGAGACTTTCTGCTGTAACGGAATCCAATCCATGCTGAACAACCGAGGAACACTGTGCAGCTGTTTTATTTCAATTGCAAATTATGAGCAGCGTTCATCTGCGGAAATTCAGAGAGCCTCGAACCAGCAACGTTTAGCAGCGTAACAGGAGTATGGAATGAGATATCTTATCGATTCGCCTCATTCATAGCTCAACGAATATTTGTTTCTTACAAAAGTCTGCTTACTGATGCACCACAAGTTCATTTGCCTGGTGTCATATTTACCTAGCCACATCAAATTTGGTTCTGAAAAAACTCTACCCTTCAAAAGTTATCGACATACGTTTTACTCAATCAATGCAGCTCGTCCCAATAATACTGGTGTCTTCTCTACCATGCTTCCAACCCAGTTCACTAACGAGTTTCGGTAAACGCAAATGGAAAAACGTATATTTTATGCTAACACCGTATAAGGTTAAGTGATGGTACATAAACCAGCAAGCAATCGCAGCAGACACCCCGGTGACTGATGCCAGAAGATGGGAGTAGTTCATTAGTGTATCCTGTGGTAATTTCGCACGGAGAACTATAGTAAGGAACTTGATGGGAAAAAATTCTGCCCGCTTGAAACAAATTCCGTCAACTTGTTCTTCACTGCGTATCCACTCAAATACAGGCACACGGTGCTGGCTCAGAAAATCGGGGCAAGTAACCCTTTTGCCCGTTTTTGACTAGAACTCTGATAGAAGCTTTCGTTGAAGTCTATTTTCGGTTTAGGCTGAGAGATGGTTTCCACCAATTTTCAGTCTTCAATGTAAGCTCAAAGGCGACTCCTATAGAGTATTTCTTGATAAGACGATGTACTAAATACCTGGGGATAGTTCTAGGTCAGTTCATACATTCATATCATTCGAACCTTTTGCCATTCCGGCTGTCCATTGTCAGGCCGAATACAAATTAGTTTATCCCCAAGGCTGCAGCTGTTATCGGCCATGACAACCAGCACAGAATCCGGTATTCATAGTTGGGTGCATTACTGTTCACACACTCAAGCGCACACTACCAAGTCATTCGGTTTGCCATAATTTGTGGCCAAAAGACCGGTATTCCCACGGTCCCATCCACCAAATTTGACGAGCTGTATTTGGACGGTGAACACTCATCCTGTGACGCTGACTCATAGACGATGGCGACAACAACATTGGTTACGGAAGTATACAGTTTTACAAGAAGCTTGACGGGTTTCTTGTGCTATACTGAACTCAGGATGGCATTTTAATTCGTAATCGGCCTTACTACACATCACTATGGCTGACCGAAATTAAAACTTTGGCGATGGACCGACTGGCAATAATCTTGGATAAAGCATACAAATATGGTATTTTTAGGTTTTTGTCGATAAACGTTGATGCAAGCCGGTATCATTTCATGGGACTGGAACGTGCAGAAGCAAATTTATTTTCTGACAACGTTCTACAGACCGTCAGCGTGCGATCACACAAACTTCATATCCTGCGTGGTCACCTTCTTTCATGTGACTTAGCAGAAGAAAATCATCTGTAGACATCCATTGGTGTATGGCGCATTTGTTGAGACGCTTTTCCATTCAACCATTTTAGAACTCCACTCCAGAGACCCCATAGAACGTGTACCCGGGAGAACGAATCGTTCAATCTGTGACACTTATCCGATGTATCAATGACTTTGCAAGTGAAACTTTGGCACGCGCAACGTAAAAGTCCAGTGTCACCTAGACCATACCACAAACATGACATGGAAAACGCTTAGCTAGCTCGCTATTGGTTGTATGACTATCGGAACTCGTCAACTTGGTTTAGCCCTCGAATATCTGTCAACATTTTAAACAAGAGATTCAGTTGGGTTCTAGTGAACGCCACCCCAAATCTCAATAGGTGGTAGCCTCCATACTACTGTAAAGCAAGCGGCTTACCCAGCAGCAATCATATTGCTCGGCATAGTCTCAAATTTTTAAACTCTTCAGAATATTTACTTTTATGTTACTGAAATGCAAGCCTTAGGCACTGTAATATATACCCCTAATTTATTGCTGGACAGTTTCAAGTTGTGGTGGATTCAGCTGGATGTGATGCTTGATAGGTTAGTCCAAAATCACGGGCAACGCGGTGTGCGGTTTATTTAATTAGGTTGCATTCAGAATGGCGTGTTATAAACTTCTCACGAAATCGTAATAAACAGGAGCTCTCAAATTCATACGACCGCAAAACCCTACAAGCTTCTGGACGTCGTTCATGTATGTTGCGCATAAGAAACGAAAGTATGTGTCAGTTTGCTTCAGCGCGTTTCTTTTTTTCGTAAGCGAAACACACTGCACAACCCCAACTGGTATTTGGTGGAGGAGAAAACGAAAGCTGAGTCACAAGATTGCTATTTTGTCTGAGCTTTCGGTTTCAAAAGAATAATTCTTCAGAAAATCTTATATGGTCATTTGTATCACGACAAGAAACAGTCTTTTGAGCACAGTGAATGTGTAGAATACTTCAAAGTACTCAGGAAAGACTACTTGGAAGACGCACAAAATCGCAAGTCAGAAATTGTGGATTCTCAATATTTATCAATAAAATGTGCGTCACTCAATTTAGATTCCCAAATACGCCGAAGTATCCCACGGTACTCAAATTATTGGGGTTTCGGTTAAAATTGTTACACAAAGTAGTCCAAAGAAAGCTCGGGGAAGATGGCAAACCGATCTTCGTTGGCGACACAATCCTGTGCACAACACGCGGCAAAGCACAAAGCATACGTAAAACAAGGTACATTGTAGCTTAATAACTCTGCTCTGTCCAACATATGATCATCATAAACCTGAGGAGACCGGTGAGAAATAGGTTTCTGTGGAAAGTAGCACACAACTAGATATTTGTGTTGGAATGGAAAGTTAAACAGTTCTGTAGAAGCACTTCAGCAAACGTAGCATCTTATCACTCAAATTTTGAGCAATATTGATCGAATTGGCTCATGCAATATTGATGAACCCCAATAAGGGCGAGACAATTGGCCCTCATTCACAAAACACTGAGTAAAAATTCTTGCTAGGCCGACATGGATGAGCAGGCTCGAGGTTGTCTTAGTTTTTAGGTTGGTATCCTCGCTGACATGAACTAATGTATAACCATTAATGAGAAGACGAACAACAAATGCACGAAACACTCAGACATGTACAGAACTCAGCTGTCCCGGTTGATTTTTGGAGGACTCGGTTATCGTCTTGAAATCGGGAATTGAAAATATTCCAGCCATACATTTCACCTTTTTTGAAAACAGCAAGAGACAGAACAGTGTTGGAGGACTCCGGTTTAATTGAATTTTTTTCGACTGGTTTATCAAAATGATAAGCATACGTAAAACGACGGTAATACAGTCTGTTGCGGAAATGTTTTGTATAACAACCGAACTGTGCTGTATTCTGATAACAGTAGAGTTGTAATGCCTTCAATCGGTAATCACGCTTGTTGCCCTCAAGCCATATTTAGACTGAGACTTCTTTCCAAGCGATGCTGTCGGTCAGACCCAGCCAGGTGTAGACAGTGGCTTCTCCTGTGCATCGTCAATGCTCATGCTACTCACCACTGAACACCGGGTAATAGCAATTCATTCATTATACTGTTTATTATTAGAATGTCATTCATCTCTTTTTCGGTACCGAAAAAGCTTCCTTGTCAGTTATGCGAAGCGGTTGTATCGACAAGCTCTTTTGTGATGCCGAAATTTTGCGTTCAAAGAGGTCTTTCTCCCTCGAGGTCATAGGCCTTAGCAGAGCAGTGCACTTTCTGAGACAGTATCTTTGTAGTGTGCCCGGAAGTTCTCAACAAAAATTAGCATCAGACTTTGAAGCTTTACCATTCGAATGTGTAACATGCCAATTTTAAAGACTGTCAAAATCCAGGGTTTTGTACCCCGGCAATTCGTCAGAATATTTTGAGCTGGGGAGACTTGATTCAGTGCTAAACAGGTGGTGGCCGGTCTGTTCGCCAAGCGTAAAACTTAGCTTGTAGAGATTTCGTTAGTACGCAATTTGAATGCATCTTCTCAAGCGATGGCGAAATGTTTACAAGCCAATCGCCAGGCATAGTGAATAGATCGACCGCCATGTGTTACAAACCAGTTATCCAAAGCCAATGAATACGCGTCAGTTTGTGTAAGTTCTGATTGAGAGAACATTTTGATGGTAATTTTATTTACTAGTTTGCTAACCGCTATTTTCTGATCTGTTTTCCCAGATTCTGACTGCCCCATGGATTTCCAGCTTATCGCTGCCAGTGGAATCTCCAGAATCGTTTGATTACTCAACCATTTGCAATCCAGCTACAAGAACTAACGTTCCAATGACACCTAGAATGTGCATTAAAAATCCTAGTGCTCACTGGTCTCCATGTAGTGGGACGATAAGGAGGTCACCTGGAATGCATCACAATATCCTTGCTGAAAGTCAGCTCCCTGTCCTTCACACACCATCAAGCAAGACCAACGAATCACCGGTCTATGCTATTGAAATGCGCTCAAGATCTCAACTGCACCCACATTCAAAGGAGCATTGCCTTGCCTCACCACTATCAAGACCTATTGAGATGCCTCTTACTCTGCTTTTTGAAAATTACGCCGTTCGGCCAGAGCAGAACGCATATCGAACCTTGCTGAGAGATAATCAGGCAAGCAACAAGTGCACCACGTCTGTTACTCAGTCAACCAGTGAAGTTCCGCGGAAAAATCCAAGGCCACTAGAGTTTGGACTATTAGCTTCCAACACCCAATCACCGTGGCCTACGGTGACGGTGCAGTCTACGCTTAGGCGTTCAGCGTACAGTTTGGAGGATTTCCATTCAACTTTAGAAGCCGAGGAAAACAACTGCTGTAAGTTATGCAGCACTTCTTTGCACTTTTTAAAGTTTTTATTGCACCCTAACCAAGCTTTTCATTGAATTGAGTGTTTAATGACAGTGTTAAGTAAACATCATTTGGTGTGAGGAGGCAAGTTCTCAAATAAAAATTTCGTGGATTCGCAATCCTTATTGTTATGCGACAAGCGAGAATGCGATAAACAGAGCACCTTTCTGAAGGGATTATAATTTTCAGACTGAACTGATGTTGACAACAAACGCAACTGAATTACGGCTGAAGCTCTTGTTTGTGATATTCTACGACTGAATGTGATGCTCAGAAAGAGTTTTGTAACTAACCGTACTGTTGTCAACTGCCAACAGATGAGAACTATCCATTTGTCACGTTTATCGTCTATCACCGAAATTAAAATAGGGCTATCTCACGTCCATAGATTCTTTAATCCTAAGGGCAAAATCGGGGATAATAAATCATTTACTTGTGAATGCCTTGCACAGTGCAAGTCACTTGAAGGCACTAGAGAAAGACACTGAAACAGAGAAACGAAATGGACTGTGTACTTCAACTTTTGAACTGAATGATAGAGACTGTGTTGTGTAAGATAACTAGACTTGAATTTTTAACACTGACTTTTGTCAGATGCGGACCAATAGAAGCTAAATGAACGTGGGACACCGGACACTCAGGCTCCCATATATGGAAAGGACACATGTTTGACAGTCTGGTTTTTTTTACCACAGTCTACTATGAACAAACTGTCCGTACTACAGCGGTCGCCGTTGTGGAGCTTTACAACCAATTCCCACTAATCAGGATTCGAATATTTCTTATGTCCCAAATACCGGTCCATAGTTCCAGGTTTAGCAGACGTCCATCAATTCCTGAGTAGAGACATCACCGATTAGCTTTGACGTCACTGCTTTTTAGCAAAGATAACAACGGACCATCGCGTCAATCATAAAAATTCAAGGCCCAAACATACGGTTGGACTACTTGTTCATTTAAACGATCGATCGTGTTCGGCCTCCAATTACAAGAATGCCAATCATGGGAGTTGACGCGTTCCTTTGCCAAGCAATAAAGATGAATAATCAGCCGACGTTGAGAAAAACCGCAGAGCAAAACACTGTTTGCCATTTGGTGAAATTCTGTTTGGGATAAAGTAACAATAGAGAGGCGCCACAGACTAGGCTACAGAAAGACAGTCCTAGATATTGGTATGTCCACTCATTTGCGGAGGTTCTGTGGTTGAACAATCAACAGGAATATTCACGAAAGAAAAAAGTGCCACTTAAGTGACAACTTTGAATTGCCCACCCTAACTAGGTTGAGCTCTTCTCCAGTTATTGATCAACCTGAGTGCATTCTTATTAGATTATCTTATCCGCCAAATTTGATACAAAAGCAAACTTACCTTAAAGCAATCATACTCAATCGGCTTGAGCCAATCGACAATCAGGATGACATGTGAATTTCTCGCTGAGCGCATTGTCCTTAGTTCATTAGTTGGGTATGTTTGATGTATGTCAGTTGTGTCCTTTGCCCTCTAATTTTTGAAGAGCTCTTGTATAAAAAAAGCTATATTACTCTTGGAGGTAAGTAATTTTTTCATGATTACGTTTGGTTCGTACGTAAAAATCTCAGGAACCTATCGCGGAAACGAAGTTGAACCAACCGCGGCTTACCCGTTTGGAACCAACTTTCGAACATTGATTCGAGTTGACTTTTGACCAAGGCGGAAAGTTGGACGCTATCTATAAGCAAAGTAGAAAGCAAAAGCTAAGCATAAAACTAAAGTAGAGTCCGCTGGTTCATAAAAAATAACTGATCAGAAGGGAGTTAGTTATCTTGCGGTACTTAATTTGTTTCCCAGCTTTATTATCTTGAATTTGTTTTTTGCCAATGAGACATATTCCAGGGACCCAGTTGGTCCAGAACTTTTTCGACCCGAAACATTAGTCAGATAGAAGCGCTTAAGATTAGATGCCACGTATAAAAGTCATGGAAAAATAAAACTCCAGAGTCAAAGGGAGATAAAATTCGCGTTTTCATGAAACAAATAACTTATCATCTGTACATCGGCTTAGCACGATACAACCGGAGTTGATTTGGTCACCGGACCTCGTGTTACTGAATTGTTAGAATGATGCCACATGAAAACCAGGGAACATCGGAACTCAGATTTGCCTGTCCCGTTTGGCAGCTTGTACAAGACTGGTGTCAGTGACGGCCGAGAAGTTTAGGCAGTTAGAAGATATCTTGATAGAAACGCTTCCAGTGGACAATGGATGGGAACTAAGATAAAAATTTCTGGTAACAATGTCACTTTGAAGAACAGTAAGCTGTTTGCAAAGAATCAATTTCAAACGATGTGTATTCACACCATTCCAAAATAAACAGTCCCTGTCCTATCAGGACTTGAGTATCCTGCTGGTTCACATCGAATTCGGGAAGAACTGGGCTCGAACTTCGCATTTCTTAGTCTCACCAGCCAAGAATATCTGTGGGCAAGCTGGGATTCAAACTTCGGTTCACCATATTGCCAGCGTATGTTAGACGCACCTGAGATAGCTCATCTGAACAACGAAACTTTTTTCAGCATAATTAATGTTTTTCAAGCCTGCTTCCATACGGAATCGAACCTAAAAGTATCTGTGTACTTTTCTTAGCCAGCTATTTTTATGGAATCATCAGTTTAAAAGGCATGAACTCCTCGTTTGTAGAACATATTAACGTAGGTCCCTCATCTCGATCGTCCTGACAGTCTACCTTGCGCTATTTAGTCGTGCAGTTTAGCTTGAGTTTCCCGTTTGAGGGATAACTGACAAATTGTCATGATGCAAGTTGTGATAATCTACATTATCCTAGGATGAAAACCGTTTTACGAGACCTTATGTGTACCCAAGTCTCATGATGTAGACATCATGCAGGCTAATTAAATACCTGAATACCCGTCAATGAGATTCTAATGATGGCCATGCACGTTTCAGTAAACTGGGAATTAGGAACGGTAATATGCAAGCCAAAATCATTGTGGAACATCGTGGGTTGCGGCATCACTTATGCAGTGGAACTATCCAGGACTATTGCACCATTCGCCAAAGGGTTCATTTGACTTGTCGACATCCATAGAACATACGCAAGTGTGTTTAAATCTGTTCAAAGAGTTCGGCTATTATTCAGTGCCGTTATCTTGTCATGATAGTCAATATGTAGACAAATTAATACACACTAAGACGGGCTTTGATCGATCAGTCCAACAGGGTATGTCACACGATATGTCCTCGCTTCTGTCACCTGCATTCTCCACATGATATCAGCAATAAACCCTTTAACAGCTAGATAAATAATAGATGGATCTCCTTCCTCCGAGCAGCAGTAAGAAGGGAACTCAATTTACGAATGGCTTACTAGGTTTTCTGTCGAGCCTGGGTACCGAGTTTTCATTACTCTGAATGAATGTCTGTCACAATTAGTCTTAAATATACGGCTTTATGATAGTAGTCTTTCGTCCAAACTTGGTCGCCCATGCTAAAAGACCTACTGCATTTTAGAATACTTGTAAACAATCTGCGTTGTTTGGTGTAGTCTCCACATGCTGGAAGCCTACCTCATAAGTGTATTCATCGTCGCTCTAAACCACCCATTCATTCACAGGAATTCGCACTCCATAGTAGGTATGTACAGCGGTTACACAAATCAATTGTATGAATTACCCAGCATCTCACTTAGTCAAAGGAGCTAGACAGGGTGACCATACGTCTTGGCTTATTTCGTGTGAAGGCAGGAGGCTTCCACACAGCCACAGCGGCCACACAGCTCTACTGTCAGACCGTATTCCGATCCGTACTCTATGCGATTCGTTGACTGAAGATAACAGAATTTGTAAGGATACTAGAAGTAGGAAAACGGGGTATAGATACCATCGTCTATCAGGTAAGCTATGCCACAGTATTCCGTCTAAACAAAAAGAGACATCTTTCTACAACTCACTCTTTTTCCTTCTGAACTAGTGGTTGTTTATTTTCCCAGTGGTTTATCAAGTGTTAGAAATAATGACGGATTCGAGAACACTGCAGTAGCAGCAAGTTAACGACGCAACTGCAGTTTATCGAAGACCGGAACTGGGAAAGTGAGATGTTACTGGAAACGCATATCTCAGCTACCTAATGAGAAGTTATTTCAGGCCCACCGTCCACATGTCGTAAGGCATCCACTGCAAGTAACCAAGTAAACTCAGGAAAGTGCAGTCTTCAAGTATCTGAAATTTCAATGATGTAAGGAGATGACGATGACCAACTGATGTTGACGAGTCCTGCTCATGGATGCTTCTCATGTCAATTTCGCCATTTTTTAAAAGGAAAGAATGAAATTATTTTTCCAGGACAGAATCTTTTCAGATTTCCAGCCGATCCAAAACGAATTTGATCACATTATCTTAGGTACCCAAAGTTTTTTCTTTTAGCACACCAGCTGTGGATACTGGTTGTTATTTACTGAATTCCGGGTGGTAGTTTTCCTATTTGAGTCATGAGCCTCCTTTAACGAGCTGCCGGACTTCTTCCTGAAAGGTTATTTATTTATTTCCGAGGATACTTGTCAACCCCGTCACTGAGCATGAAGCGACCTAAGTTGTTACCTCATTCACGTTCCTGGATTCTGCTCACCTACCCAGGACTAGAAGACGAAAGAGATATAAATGTCGTGTTGGAGGTTCATGGCGTTTTTCCCTGAAGCAGAAAAATACTTTTTGAAGAGAAATCGAGGTCAGCCAGCAAAGAAATTTCTGTCTTCGTTGTAGCAGTTTACTTAATCTTTAGTTATGATCGCCATGGATATGGAACACCCCGATGCTTCAGGCTTCCCGACACTGTTGAATGTAAGAGATATGAAAATTTTGATGTGTATAAACTGACAAAAAGGTGTATGCCGAAGCCGTGACCTGCCACATCTATCTGAAGTTTTTTACTGGTGGCGCTCGTAATGTCTTCCGCATCTTTTTTTGCAAGAATAATGCCAATTTCTCTGAAAACCTCTTGCCCAGTAACATGCCGAGTGTGGCTTTGCCTTCCCAGAGGAAACGGATTTAAGAGCGAGTATCGGTCGGAAGCGCTACACTTATATTCGGGGATTATTTAAAGACTACTGTTTGAAAAATTCAATGGGGTAGGGGTTCATTTTCTTGTAGCGGAAGGTGGTGTTGCGCGATTAACTGTGAACTTGAGCAGAGTCCCCGAATACAAGCTGGAACATCAGATGCCGTTATCTGGGTAAGAGTTCTAAGCATTTATCGCATTTTCCGCTACTTCCATGCCCTTGCTTTTAGAACCCCACTGTGTCAACAGCTATCAGTTACATAATGCGTTATCTATCTAATAGCTTTACTCATGATCAAGACCCCGTTCTTTTTTAGGCTCTAAACGCTCGTTCGTCCAGTCTCCAGACGAGTCAGAAAGGATAGCCAGTATAACTCGGCATTCCGAACAGACGTATTCTAGCAAAACGTGTCCGACACGCGATGAGTATCAACCACTGTTGACACAGGACTGTACTCCGTTAAGGTCAGTACACAGCTCTCCACGACACAGGGCAAATAACCCACTACACCAGCTCCAGATACTTCATACTCCCGAATTTGTACGTGCCAATGACTCAGTCAATGGTGGGAAGAATATTCAGTTTCAAATTTGTCAACGAACACCCCCCTGCGACATAAATTCCCGGGCTGTTCCACTCACCAACGAAATGAACAACGACTCATCATCAAAAGCCCGTCAAACTAATTCAGGCTTATTTACGTTCAACGACAGTTATACGAAACCGGCTTCACAAAGTCAATGCATCAATGACTGTGGTCCGGGAAAATCGTGGTTCAAGCTCAAATCCAACCTGAAGACAAGCGGTAAAAAGCACAACGTGATCAGATTCGCAAAAACCGAAGAAGAGCATCCAGTGAACTTTGAAAATATCATGAGAGCTTCTTTAAACTCATCCATACGTTCCGATGGTTTAGAAAGCTTCAGTCCAACATCCAGCCCTGCTAAAGGAATAAAAACGGAGAATTTGCTGTTTTCACCAGTTTCACCGGTTAAAACAGCATCTGTCCACGTAAAAGGGAGTTTTGTTTAACCGAGTAGTTGTGACTCCTGTATGTAAACAACCATGACTATTTCGTTCCTCATACCAGTACTGTAGAGGTGATTGAATACTCCTTTTTCCCAAATTGTAAATATGTTCCATTATTCTAGCAGTTACTGTGTTGATTTGATGCCAACGTCTTGTTGCTGTGGCCAGTTTAATGCAAACTTGCTATTGTATGCATACTAAAAGATAAAAGACCGTCTACCATTACTGTACATTACATACATCATCGAAGAAACTGGGATTTCTTCTGCTACCAGTGGAGTATTTCAGCAAAAAGCTGCCTGACTTATTTCGAGGAACAGGTGTTTCCACATGACTTGACACTATTGTCAATCACAGCTGGCTGAAAGCTGCTTGTTCTCTCGAATCAGAAAAGCATCGAACTACTTCGGTTGTTGTCTGGTAAAATATGCTGCACGAGAGTCTAATGCGCGAAAATATTAAGCAACGGCCGCAAAGCTCCGTTTGCCTAACTACTCAGTAGACCATACTCGCCTTCATGTCATAGATTTTGAATACATAGAATTCACTTTCGCAATGACAGTCCACCGAGCAGAAGCCATACACAAACAAATACTTCCGAAGACGGCTCCAAAATTTGGTGAAATTTTCATGCGGTCCTGTCGTTTGATAGCTGTTCTACAAGGCACTAGTCCTTGTTGTCAACTGCCTACTTTTCAACTAAGCGCAAAATAAGGAGCTCTGATTAGTAATCAACAATTTCCATAAACCAACTGCACACAAGAGGACTGTTGTGTATTAAAGCTGATCCCTTTGTGAAAACGGAATACACCGGCAATTTTTACTTTTAACTCTCTTGATTCCTTTAGAGTACCAATGCATGACGTTGATAGACCCTACTAGGAAAACCTATTCTTCTGAATTATAACTGGATGCGAGTTGTTTGCATGCAGTATTTTGGGAACCGCCAGAGATCGACTTTTACGATCGATACTCACCGCAATTCTGATGCTGAACAATCGGGAGATGAAGGTTTTTGTTGGCCCATCTTGTTCTTGGAAAACAAAATGAACGTTGATAAAACTGATGAAATCTGTAAAACGACAGGATTTTTGTGTTTAAAAGGGTGTTTAAAGTAAATTTCGGCAAACCGTTGGCGTAATTTGGTTTATTTTCAGTTAACTGCGTTTTACTCCCTCTGGAGAACGACATGTCGGATAGTTTGTGACAAAAGAGGATGACTAAGCTTGCTTTCCTACTGAGTACATTGTAAACGAACTAGAAGTAAAAATATTTGCCATACGATTACAGGTTACTTTACGGAGTTTCTGCAAGTCCATTGGTGAAAACATCAATCTCGACCTGGGCCCATGAGTTTGGTCATTGAGTACGTGTCCCAAGCGCTGTAATCATAGTCACTCCCTTTGTTCAGGTTTAAGATGCCATGGCCCACCCATTGCATTCTGCTCTTTTATACGTATAATTCTTTTGGTATTCGTAGTTATAAAACCGCCGTTTCAAAGGAATCCTACAGTCTGGTGATCAGGAGTCAGTGTTGATTTGATGTCTTTACTATGAAGCCAGTCTCTGATTCACATCCAAAAGTACTATTATAGTGTAGTAATGCTATCCCACCTACATCATTGAGTGTCCTTACTTGATATTTAGCTTTATACCATGTTAAGGAACCGGAACACTTACACACGAATGTTATTTCTGTATTCACAACTCATATAGTGAACTGTCGTCTGACGTTCGCCAAGCACAAAGTAATATGTTCTCTTCTTCAATACCGGGTTTATTAGCGCATTACCTTATTTAGATGGTTAGATGGTTCGTAGTTACAGGTATTTGGTGGCTTATTTGGAAGAAGGAATTTTTTGGAAAACCCACAGCGTATCCAAAAGCGAGTGAGATTAGTAGCTGTCCTATAATCTAATTTACAAGAATACTGTTACTCTGTCACACCGCTTCTCCCAAATGGTTCCGTCTCGGTTTATAAGGCTACATAATGACTTTATATCAGGTTTTGTCAAACGTGATCTTCCACCCTCGGGCTCGGGTTGAAAACTGACGAAAAACCTAATACTACCTAGCTGGGATTATTCAAACGTGTAACCAACTTTGGTGATCGAGCTTGATGCTATTTGAAAAGAGTGAGGAAACGGTATCTAAACTGCTGAAAAACATGTCTATTTGATCTGCTAACGCTCTGAAGATCTGAAGTAATTAAGTGTGATAGAAATGACGGTTTCGTACTACAAGTCGCGCTATGCAAAGCAACGCATAATTTCAAGTAGAAAACTATGGATTGTGACTTATAGGACTCCAACTCGTATCTCTCAGTGGTGAAGTACCACTGGTCAAACGACATACCCACTGTAATTTTTTCAAGGTTTTTACTGCCGAATGCTCCAGGCAACCAAATTTTTAGACACCCCTCCTCTCGCAACTCAAAAAAGCAATTTGATCCGACGACCTCTGAAATTATTTCTTGGGACCACAGGACATATCCATTCGAATGGTATGACATTGCCTGGTCATTCTTGTACCATTTGCGGTATGTGCTAAGTACCAGTCACTTTGAAAATGTAGGTCAACCAGTTGTCATTGTGGACAAGTTAGCATCTCCTTGAAAGATCCAGCTATCCAAAGAATAACTACAGGTTTTCTTCAGTGAATTATAGGCTAGCACTTTGATTCTCCAAAATTCTTATTTCTTGAAGCTGCCTCTGGTTTTCCTGGTGGCCGGCTTTAAGTACGGATCCAACTGCATTCCGCTTTAAGGATATTCGACTGCGATACATCACTGGATACTACTTTTTATGACATAACTTGTGGTTTCTATTGATTTCCTATTTCGAAAAGCGTCTTCCTCATTACGGCAATACGGTTAAGTCAATCTGGTAAGCTTTCGTAAGGCCTCATCAAGTAAAACGATGCCCCTTTCAGCGTATCTATAAAGTGAATCAACAGCGGCATACAAAACCCTAAAATATATAGTATCTGGTTGATAAAACTTTAAAATACCCTGAAATCAGTTTCCACAGTTTGACATATTCTAAAGAGACAATCACACAACCACTCCCTACTCGAATAGATGCGTGGCTGCCTGAAGGCGCAGATTTGGTTTATTGCAAGTAATATGATTTCTTCTGGCAGGCTAATGAGCCTAGTGCTCCGGCAGTCATCACACGTCTGTTCAACGTCTTTCGAGAACGGCTGTTGAATATAAGCAAGATAACTAAATACAGATTTGGACGCTTCCGTTACCTATGTAAAACAGAAAGATGTGCAAATCAGCTTGAAAAATGAGAATGCATTCCTTCAGTTGTATTCTAAATGAGTTGATATTGGGTTAAGAAGGTTCAAGACATTTCGGGAAAAAGACAATCTGAAGGAGGTTTCCGTCACTGTATTCAACTTTCCAGTTAATTCTGAGGCAGGAATCTCACTAAGGTGTTCAGAGGGCGACTGACTAACTGATTAGAATGTTTCCTTCATCCGTTGCTTTCATTGAGTGGTCCCGTGGTTAGTTGTCTCAAATTTTCAGTCCACTTAACTCCGTCTGTTGACGTCTGACCCTATGAGAGTAGGAACAGTTTGTCTACACCACCCACACTGGCCACCATTCGCATAGTCTCTTCCACAGGTATTGGAACAATTCTTTCTGAATGTTTCCGAATTATTGGGATTTTGGTTCAAGGCAATTTCAAAATGAGGTTGGCAAGTTTAACCATCTTAATCAGCGTAGCAAATCCAGGAGGACGAGGTCGTACCGTGGGAATATATATGTTTGGATTCATATCTAGGTAGGCAAACCTCTGATAGACGTGCATTCTTTACACGGTATTCGCACAAAGTCTACATGGTTACGGATTATCTTGTAACAGGTTCACATTTCAGCAATCTGGAAAAATGTACCTTTCAGTAATAATAAGCTCAATCAAGAGTTGGACAGCATGCCAAACACACGAAGCTCTATAAAGATGTGAAGGAGCAATTTATTGGGTTAGAATTCGACACAGATATTAGCCATTAAGTTACATGGTCCTGGCTGCAATGTTTTAAGTCTTCATAGCTAAAACAAGAAAGACAGAATAAAACTTGAAGAAGAGTGGACACCGATTAGAACAACTGAATTCTGAAATTCATTTTATCAGTACCGGGGTTAATTAATGTTCCTGAAGTGATTGGTGTTGGATCCAGTTCTCTCTAGAGAGACCACTAAAGGGACTTCAGTTAGGTTTTAGCATCTTGAGTGCCCCATCACCAAATGTGGGCAGTGAACTGCGCTGCTCAGCAGGGGATAAATTATATCAAGTCCCTCCGTTTTACGTCAGGGTGGCGCAAATGTTTCTCATTAGTCTTCATTAGTTTTCATGTTGGCTGTCGTAATACCATGGTTGCGCCCTCATTGACACTGTGAAAGCAGTATGACTTCCCTACAACTGCCCGATTAGCAGAAATGGTAACTTCAACCTTAAAGGCCGCAGCGCTTTTCGGTTATACAGCGGTTATAAGGTAAGAAAATAAACAGTGCATTTTAAGTCCATGTACATTTAGCTTTACACTTCGTGGTTAAATCCACACTCCGAACCCCCCTGGTTTCATCTTTTCCTGATGACTTCCTCACCTCAGATGAGTGTAATTAGGTAATTAGGCTAACAAGTATGATGTGCTACCAGCGGGCCGGAAGTAAGAGGAATTATTGCGGTTGCAGGATAGCAGCTTTTCAAGTTTGGACGGAAGCTGACAACAAATTCCCTTGGCATCTGCTGGCAGTCAAATCGTATACTGTCCAAGCTAGGAATAGAGTGGATCAGGAAAACCATAGTCCAGAAGGCTGGTCGCATCGACATTACCCTGACTTTTTATAACAGCTCTCATATTCTGATGTCCAGTCAAACCCTGACTACATCTCTGTTCGCAGCACTGCGAATCAGGTTGATACAACTCTCATTCCGGCAGATGATGATGATGACGCAAGACCTGATTGGGTTAACACATGATACATATTAAAT